TTTTGGCAACGAGCCAAAAGTGCAATAAGAGTATCAAGACGGGTAAAGTTTAACCACACCTCGGAACGCGTTCTCTCCGCCATCCCCGCCGTGTGTGTGTTGCATGTAGCAGCTGCGTGTGTGTAAACTGCCCCGCCCCCTCGCACACAGACGGGAGAGAGAGATCTCTCGTCTGGATTGGAAAGATCAAAAATACAAAAAATAACGCATTTTGCAGTCTTTTTGCATATTAGAAACGGAATTGGCGAAACTAAAACTGCAATATAATGCTTGTGTAGCAATAATACATATGACATATATTTTTTACATGTCTCCAGTACCGATAAAAAGACCGATAACGTTGGAGCTTAACGGTACCACGGTCTTTAATAATTCAGCCCCAGGGCCCCTTTAATACCGGGGCTCGGTAGCCATCCCTAAGTTTGACTAATAATAAGCAAAAAAGGAACAAAAATAGTTAAGTCAAAGCATACACAAAGTCATTCAATAATCCAGCACATAAACCGCAATGCAGTNTTCGTGTGTGTGTGTGTGTGTGTGTGTGCTGCATGTAGCAGTTGTGTGTGCGAGAGAACTCTCTCCCCCGCCTGCTTGGGAGGGGGCGGGGCAGTATACACACACACAACTGCTACATGCAGCACACACACACACACACACACACACGAAGGAGAGTGCTCCGAGGTTTGGTTAAACTTGTGTGGACAATGCTCGTTGCCAAAAGTGCAATAAGAGTTTATTATGTAAGGGCGGTAACACGAGCAATTTGTCTAAACATTTAGCAAAAGTGCACCACATTCAGACGGAGGAATGCACCGGGTTCGACTGTCTTTCTAGTAGCTCTGTAGCCCCATCCACGAGTAACGTTTCCACGTCAGGTGTTATGTATGCTAGCAGCAACACACTGAGTTAACTCAATGATACAAACATGGGTTAATGATTAGAGGTAACTGAGTTATTTATTTTGTTAAAGTTTCAGCTATTCTGTTTAACTGTTGGATCATTTTTGGCCTTTCATTCACCTTTCTCTATCCTCTGTTCCTCCAGGCCGCGGCGAGCGTCGTTCGGCTCCAAAGAGGCGACGAGAGGAGGAGACTCGGTGACGCACCAACTCACCAAGAAGCTCCAGCACCTGAAGAAGAAAATCAAGCAGTTTGAAGAGCAATTTGAGAAGGAAAGAAACTATAAGGTAAACATTGTGTATGTATTTAGTATTCTTTATTCTGACAGTTCATGTTAATGACCACTGCAACTTTATAAGAAATAATGAGCCCAGCCCAGCTCCTCTGAAGTTTTCCATAGTTTGAAGTCGTTCTGACTTTGTGTTCATGCGCTATTTAAGTCATAGTGTGGAAACACCATGGACATAACAAAGAAGATGTTATATTTGATTACGTGTTGAAGCAACATATTGATGGCATCCATTTTTCCCCCCAACTTGGAACACATTTATCCCGACACCACATGCAGCACAAATGCCCTATCTTTGATTTGAACAATATGTATCCGCCCCTTGCTTGATTAGGATCCAATGGCTTCTTCTTTAGATCATACACCATCCTTCCACTAAGGTTTATGAAAGTCAGGCCAGGAATTTTCTTGTTGATAACAGTGAAACAAACTGTACTAAAAACAGGACGTTCTTGTCAGAGGCCATAATAAATAATAAATGACCTATCCAACCTTCAAGCGATTGCTTATTATCAATCACTTGAAACCTTCATCCTCCTCCTCTTCCTCCCTTTAACTAGCCCTGACTCCTCTCTTTATCTAGGAACTTTTTCTTTTTTTGAGCTGTTTATTTTCCTTTTAACAAAACAAGACAAGACATATCCTGACAGGTCGTTTTCTTTCAAATGACAGATGGTTACATGATAAAGCAAAGTAGGGAATTAAATAAAGCAAATCCAGTACAAATTGAAATAATTAAGTAAATAACATAAATAAATATAAACTGGGAAATAAAAATAAATATTATTAAATACAAATTATAAATAATATTAAAGTCAAATCAAATCAATACTAATGAAAGCAATGACATCTTTGTATATAGGAACTTTAACTGATGAAGGTCAGATGATCTGAACGATGTGAATAAATACTACACAAGATGCTTTTTGGGTGTTTTGTTGGATGTTAGTTCCTGTTTGCAAACATTAGCTGTTCTTCAGTTTCATGACCTCATCAGTGAACCCCTAACTCCGCCCTCTTTCTCCCTGCAGCCCTCTCATGGAGACAAGGCAGCTAACCCCAAAGTCCTGAAGTGGATGACAGACCTCACAAAGATCCGCCGGCAGATTAAAGGTACAACCGCCCGCTCTTTCTCCTGTGAATGTGCATTTGTGTGTGTGTGTGTGTGTGTGTGTGTGTGTGTGTGTGTGTGTGTGTCGGGGCTAGAGTGTCTGCGTGCCATCCTGTTCAACGCTGGACAGCTTGACCCTCCCCACTCCTGACCTTTGTAACACCACCGCATGTCTGCTGGTCTAACACACACGCAGTCACGCACATGCCAGGGAGTAGACGTGGCTCTCAGGCGTAGCTTCACCCTCCAGTGTGCCGGTGCGTCCTTGTGAGCCCAAGTGGAGTCAGTGAGGTGAAACGGTGGAGAAGAGTTGATGTGTAAATATCAAGGAATAGTCTTTTTTTATCAGAGTTAAAGCTGCAGATAGTTTTGTCCCCTTCTAAACTGGTGTTCCTTGTAAAATATGAATTGTCTGATGTGTAGAAATATTTTTTTTTGTCTCTTATGCATCGTTTCACCAAACTGACCCCCCCCCCNCCCTCCCCCCCATGACTCCTCCCGAGGTGTCGGCTCTCCTTGAGATCCCAGTGGCCGAAAAACATTTCTCTCTCTGTGACAAAATCTAAATTGAAAAACAACAATAACGCGAGCAACCGCTCTCCACTTTCCTCCCTCCTCCTCCTCCTCCTCCTCCCACCGACTGATTGATTGATTGATTGACTGATGGGCCAACCAGGACGCCAGCACCACCTTTTACCCAGAAGCACGCTGAGGCACCAGGCTTTGCTCCATTCATACAGACGCCACCATGCTCCCTCCTCCCCTTCCTACTCTTCCTCCTCTTCTATCTGCTCCCCCCCCAACCACACACTCACCTCCCCGCTCCACCCCTACTCAGGCCTGAGCTCTAAAGCGTTCCTCAGTAAGTACCAACCCCTCAGTAAGTAGACACTGCAAACACTACCGACGTCACAATGAGGCGGCATTGTGCGAGCGTCTTGCCTCTCTTCTTGTTTTGGTGTATTTCCTGTTGAACTGCATGATGGCACGAGACATTTGAACTAAAGGCATCTTTCTAAGCGTGAAGTAATGTGAGGAAGAAGTGGGGATGTTTAAGAGGGTATCATTTATATTTTTGTTATCATCATAGCGGTGTCATCTTGTGTGAAACACAGAAACTGCTTCTTATTTAGGAATTTCTCGAGGCAGTTGAAAGCATATCAGTAGAAAACTGCACTTTAAAAATGATATTTTCATTCGGGCCTTATTTGCAATGTTTATTGTATTTAATAGAAGTATTTTGGAAATGGTTGTATATAAGCAGTATACAGTTTAGTACAGTATCGTAGCAGAACCGAGTATACTCGATTTTCTGTTTATTTTTTGCCAGAAATATAGTTTGCGTATGCTTTTGCCCGGGACAAGTTGATACACTGAATGTTATCATTGCATCTAAATATTACCCAGAAGGCAGCAGAAAAGTCTCGGTCTGTAACAATCTTTTCTGAGCGCCTATTATTTTTATATTCTCAGGCGCCATAGAGAAATGGTTTAGGATTTGTGTGTGTTTGTGTTTGGATTGGGTTTGGTGTTTGTGTGCCAGTCGGAGCATGTTCTGGTTCTGTGACCGGCTGACTTTACCCACCGCAGCATGTCTGACCGTAAAGTCCAACACGTTTAATGTGAACATTTTCTCCACTTTCTCTCTTTCTGTAACCGCCGTTCTTGTCCTGGTCTCTCTCTCTCCCATTCTCTCTCTCTATCTCCTCCACTTTTTGATTCTCTTCTTCATTTTGTTCCTCATGATTGTATCCCTTCTTCCCCAGATGCCAAGCACCGTGCAGAGAGCGAGCTCGGCCCCCTGACTCGGCCCCGCAGCAACACTTTACCCAAGAGCTTCGGCTCCACGCTGGACCAAGGCGCTCACGACGCAGAGGTCAAAGATCAACATCCCACCAGAGAGGAAACGCTGGAGCTCATCCAGCAGCGCGTCAAAGGGAAGAGGCAGGAGGACGGCTGGCCCGACGACATCAAGGTGAGCCGCAGACACTGTGAGCAGGACATGGACAGCAACTATGAACAGTAGAAGTGGATTAGCGAGTAAATAGATATACCCTTTTCCCACTAATATAAGCATGTATGTATAGGGTTTTTTAAATAATAGAAAACCTCCCTTTTCTGCCAGTATATAAATGCATCATTTGTTTTTGGCCATATCCCATTTAAAGGTCCCGTGTCATGGCCATTTCTACTGATCATAATTCCATTGTTGAGGTCTACTACAATAGATTTACATTGTTCCAAACTCACATTGGTTTCTCATCCAGCATCTCTGTATAGTATGTGTATTCACTCTCTGTCCTAAACGGCTTGTTGGAGCTCCTGCCCCTCCCTGTGAGCCCACTGTGCTCTGATTGGTCAGCTCGCCCACTCTGTTCTGATGNTTGTGCCAGTTGATAAGTGTTTTTCGCTTTTGTGGCCTCGCCCAAATAAGATCCCTAGTGGTTCTGTTTCCGTTGGACTAAAACGTTATGGTTCCGTGTATTACTCTTCTGTGTGAGGGCCGTGTGGTCCTGCAGGCCTATGTCCTTGTTGCCGTGCGGTTTTCTGTGTGGGGTCCTGCAAACCCTTTTGTTTGTCCTGTTTCTCAGTTTGGGAGAGTTCCGCGCTACTTACTCTCCTGCCGCGGGGGTTGCCTGCCAGAATTCCTATGTTCCTGTTTCCTCTGGGGGTTTTTCCCGCCGTTCAACTTTCCTAGCCGGGTCTTGCCATCCCCTCTGTTTTCCTGTTCCGTGGAGGCCCCGCCATCCCTGTCTCGCCGGGGGGTCCTGCCCAACTTTTTCCTGCTTCTTCTTCCATGGGCGACCTTGCCGAAAGCCGGTCCCAACGGCTCCGGTTCCTGTTTCAGCCGAATCCGGAGGTCCTGCCCGGGCCTCGGAGCTGTCTTGGCCTCGCCCTCTAATGTACCGGCCCCTGAGGAAGCCGCGGCCTTCGCTCCTCGAGCCCCGGCCCCCCTGAGCAGCCGCTGCCGTCGCCCATCATGCTCGGCCCCTTGTAAGGCACCTCGCTGTGGCCTTAAAAATCGCCACACCTCGGTACTGCTGCCTTTGGCCCGGGCCGTTTTCGCCCGAGTTCCCATTTTTGAACTTGACCTATGCCTCCGGAAGGGCCGTCTCCCCAAAAGGTATCCCCCCACATTTTTTTTTTTGATCTCCCTGGCCCTTGCCCCCCCGTGGCCGGTTCACCTCGAGGGGCCCCGTCCCATACCGATGGACACCCGTCCCAACCCCACACCTGGTTGGTTGGAATACACAGTTTTGTGCCTTTTCTGGGCATTTTTTTTCTTAAAAGGGGATTTAATTACGTTATTTTTCCCCTGTGGCATTTCCAGTCTCACATCTCACCATTTCACCATTCGGTCAATTATACTTAATACCGGGAAAACACAGAACCCGAGGGGAAAGAACATTTAAAAAAAAATAAATAAAATCCTTTAATTCCGGGAAGTTCTTGGGCTGTTTTTCTCTTGAAAAGTCAATGTTTTTCAACCACTACCGTGGGCTTAGTAAATAACTACGGTTCTGGGCTTGCCATTAAATATTTAAAGAAACTATTCGGGGGCCGTTAGTTTCTCATTTGTATCGGATCCCTGATTGAGGGGAGTAATCTATCTAGTGGTTGAGTAAGGACAAGTAACATTTGAGAACCTTTGGCCGCCCAAAACCAATTTGAAAACCTTGAACGTGTTTGGATAAATGCTTTAAAATATTATCAGCAAATAGAAAGAGTTCCAAACATAATTTAGCATTTTTCTTTTTCCCCCACCTCACATACGTTTCTTTCCTCGGCAGGGGATTTCAAACACTAAAATTGGGCCGGCTTTTATTATTTTGTTCAAAAATTGGTAGTGGCTGTTTATTACCCACCATTTAAAGTGGGCTTCAAAAAGCCTGTAGGGGACAAGGGACTCGCTGGGTTATGTGGGGGATGTCAATATGATATTTACGCCATTCAGTTTTTTTAGATTAATTAAAAGATATAAATAGCGGTGGATTTCCCTATAAAGAGGTTATTTCTTACTTGTTATTTTTCGACTTTGTACCTAATAGGTTTATTCCACATGTGAGATGATGGACTGGTATTTATAATGGGTAGGTAACTATTTTGCAACATCCTTTTTGTCAGGGTATTCAATTCCTTCTAGTTAATTTGGAACATTATTAATCACCCTAACGTGGGTATGTTGTTATGCATGGAAAATGGAAAAAACCTTGAGTACGGACAGGGGTATTCCTCAATGTTGGCATTACAAAAGGACCATCTTGTATTTTATTATGGAGGAGCATCCCTTCTCCAAGCATTTGTACATAGTAATACTATGGGTTGGGGTGAAGCCCCACTTTCTTTTTTACAACTTTCATATATTTATGTTATCCGAAATTGGGTCCTCCTCTTAGCCGAAGGCGGGTGGGTGTGGTAGTATGCTACAATTTCAAGTATTTTCTTATACTATTTTATTAGGGTCATTATTAAGGCTGTGTGAGTCAGGGATATTTTCATCCTCCGGGCCTTGTCCAAGGTAATTTGAACCAATCAATAAAAGATAACCTGATACCAGGGAATTATTTTAAAATATAAGAACAACAGGAAGTTGGTTGATCTCAATTTACTAAATATGCAAATCCTGTTGAAAAATGATTTTTACCGGAATTTTTAAACACCTCTCCCCTGCTGGCGTCCTATTTTACCAAAGTAAAATCCCTGTTACCACACTTTTTGCTGGTTGTAGCGGGTAAAACCGGGCCAAAAGGTCCTTGGGAGATCCATTAGTAGTATCTTTCTTCCGTGATCAGATTTGGTGTGGCTTGCCATAGTTTTTGCTCTGAACCTTGACAAGTGCATCGTTTCCAAGGGGCTATCATTATTTAGATGAAATGTTAATGGTTATTCAATTAACAACCCAGGGAGGGTCCACAGACGATTAAGGGGAGGCTGTTAAATTTTTTAAGCTTCTTCGACCAGTTGGCTTTTGGGCATGTTGGGTCCTTATATTTTTACATGGGCTGTACGTCATTTCATTGGGGCCCAACCAAGGGCAATTTTTTCCAACCAGTTCAATTTATTATATGTTTTTTAAATTTGAGTGGTCCTTTTCCTATCCCCTTAAACCCCCAGGGGAATGTACAACCAAGGTTTAAAAATACTTGGGCCAAAGCCTTCTTATTATTTGGGAAGGCGTGGGAGTACGACGACGTCCCTTTTTAGCAATCCCACTTCTTACAAAGTTCGCCAGTGAGGGGACGTGGCATACCTGGAAATGGTGGAGGTAACCGATAATGATTGGCCCGGGGTAAGTCACATACAAAATGATCTAACCGAACCACGCAATTGGCCACGGCCCATGAGTAGGTTCTGGGATACGCGGACGGGGTGGGGGGAGGACGCGGTGGGTCTCCTGTCGGTGTGGTGGAACCCTTCAAAAAGTGCAAGTTTGGGGTGGTGAGACATATTCTGGCCCGTGGGTTCCATCCCCCCTGTATAAATCGCTGTTTCGACTACAGGTCGGGTACTCGAGGAGCACCTTTCTCCCTCAAGAGCTCTTGTAGAAATTTTCCATGTGGAGAGGTTTGGTTGGAGTGGGATACTTTTTAATGCGGGCGTGTCAAATATTCCTCAAAAATTGTAAATTGAGTGTGGCAACTGCTTCCGGGATCCGCCTCGGGTCCCCCTAGGGAGCCGTGAACATTCCCCAAGCTTGTTGGTTTTTATTAAATCCCCGAAAACAATTAATTTTTAAAACACAGGATAATTATGTGTTTATGGTGGAGTAAATGGAGAATTGCCACAGGGAAAAATAACGTTTAGGTAAATTGTTTATCTATAGCCACATATTTTTTAGATGGCGGGGGGAATTTGTTTGTTTAAAAACTATTTTAGTTTTTGTGGGCTGGTGGAAAATTGTAAAATCCTTATACACATTGACGGAAGGGTGTAGCCTAATAGGTAAACACATTAACTGAACTTGTTGTTAAACCAAACCCAGCGTTAAAAGAAATAATATTGATTGAGGCAAGCGTCCCTTGCCCACAAGTTAACCCCTCGGGTAAGGTGTTTTATCATAATACAAAACCAGGGGGTGACGATTAAGAAAATCATCTTAAAAACAGTCCTTTTAATATATCCTTTCTGGCTGTATGTTTAGTCGATGGTGAGTAAGTGGAGCGCCAAGATTATAACCTGTAATGTTCAATTCGACCCAGTTATAAGGGGGGAATTACTTTACTTTCTGGTGGCTTACACTGTTCTGCGCGTTAATCCATGGGAGAGTGCGCGGATCCGCTTCCAACATTGCCTTTTAACCAGCCGACAAACAATGCCGTGTTTCCCATAAAGCCTAATGCCCCAAACAGGATGGGGAATTTACTTGAGCAAATTTCAGTTTGGGGGGGAAAAGGCTATTTGCTTTCCCTTTTGGAAAAGACTGGGAGGACTAGGAGCGTTCACAAAAGCTAGCACGGCGGAGGACACTCTGTGAAACACAACCGGTCGCTCGCTGGGGGACGGATTTTTATGGCGTTGAGGGGAATGGTGGGTTCTCTCTTGGACGGGACGGGCACAGTGTGGGGCGGCATCGGTGCCGGAAAAGAGATTATTTTGAACGGGTGGGGGTGGGCTGAAGGGTTTGGCTGGGGACTTCCCAAGGTGAACTATTACTCCGAGGCCTACCCGGATAAGAAGGGGCACGGCACAAAGGGGCCAACTCCCAACACGGCAAACCCAAAAAACAAGGTTACACCGCGACTGTTTACCCAATTGAAGGGGCTTCGTTAATGGGGCCCATTGCATATGAAGTGTGGGCAGAGAAGAGCGGAGTTGGACGAGTTGGGGAGGCGGACCTCACCTTTCTCTGGGTTCGGGATGCTTCGGGCCGTTGAAAAAGATTTTTTAGTATTGAAGTTTAAAAGCATTCCCATTCTTGTTGGCAACTTTGAGAAGGGCAAGGAAACACTTGAGGAAGATCTAATGAGGATGCTCAAACATTTCCTTTCAACCACAGTAGTGAGACCAACTTGGTAAAGGGGGCAAGATAGTTCTTTTTTTCTTTATGGATTAAGTTTGACAAAAATTCCAACCCTTTTCTATAACTGTTATTCCTGTTGATATTTTGACTGCCTTATCCTTTGTATTCATTACTG